GGGGCAAGAATAATCAACTACTCTCGACACCGTACCAAGGTAAATCGGCTTCCTTCCATTCAATCAACCACTCTTCAAGCAACATGAACATTTTTCATTCCCTATTGTTTTGCAACTTGAGAGTGAAACCATCGGCTTCAACAGCTTTTATTTAACCTTATCAGTGCATATCGCTATGTAAATCTTTCTGGATATATTTCTGTCCGAATGCACAGGTGATCCGATGGGAACGGGCGGGTTTACTGTCCACACCTGCACAGTGTAAAAATCCTGTTCCTACGAACCATTACCTCATCAGGAACGTGTTGCGCTCAAAACGCCATACCAACCAAAATTCATGGGAACAAATCTCTCGCCGAATGGCTCGAGCTGGTCCTAGGATGTCGAAATGTTAAACATCAACACTTCTGCGGAGGCCTTGTTCAAGCCAGAAGCGCACTTCATTATTAAAACCTTGAGCAACGAGGAGTTTCAACTCGACAGTGGAGTCCAAGAGGGAATACTGCTAACCGTAAGCAGTGATTCCACTGACCAAGGAAATATACTCATCATGATGACCAGCGCCGACGCCAAAGCTAAGGGACTCATTACCTCATTCAAATGGGGAAACGTTTCGGGTGAATAGAATATCACTTTGTCATTCTCTGAAATATGGGTACATGTATGTCCATGCTTTTTATAAGCCCTTGGAGGATGAAGGCAGTTTCCCAATCATAATGATAAGATAACGGAACACAGTGTATATTACTCGGTTTTAATCTAGTTGGTGCCTTCATCCCATGGCTAATTTCACTGACTGGTAACATGTGAACAGGATGAATTACTATTACTATCATTGTAAGTAGTTCAAAGCTCTTGCACTCATTCCAAAAAAAATATTTTTCCGCAGTATTGCCACTGCATTTCTAAGCTACAGCAGCGTCATGGAAACGAAAAATACCTGTGATGTGACGATTGTGAAATGCGGTGTGGTGAGTGAGTGGACGGAGTGCCGCCCCCCCCCCCCCCCCGAGCATCTTGCGTTGCTACTTACCATGCCCTTCTGTCTGCCGAATTTACACCTGTCTATTAGCAATACTTGCGTACTTCGTATTTGTTAGTATCGCGTCTTTGTCATAAGTTTAGTTTTCACAGTGTATGTCACTTGTTTCTTTTGCTTTGCCCTCATCATCGTGCTTCAACTCTCCCATTGCGCTTACCTTTTTCGGTACAAAGGGTTGTTGTTGTTGTTGTTGTTTGTTCATTTAGAGTCGAAGAACAAACAGGCAAATTTGCCTAATTACATGATATCGACTTAAAAAAAAGTAAATTATCGTGTCCGTTCCCAAAGGGAACTCACGACGGCCGCTAACAGCCGATAAACCCTAGCGGCAGATGCAGCGCCTAACGGTGGGAGTGAGTGGATAAGTCTCACAACAACTGGCACAAGTGCCGACAACGACCCCATTAGCTGCATCCATGTACCCTTGTGCCTGGCCACAAGTTCCCAGTTGACTGTGGGTAGCAGCACGGCTGGAAAACCCGCTCCCAGGCAGGACTTGAACGAGGTACCTCTCATATCTCAATCATAGTCTTTGACCAACCCAATGGGCCTGACATGATATCGACTAAAAAGGAGAATAAAGTATAAAAGGCCAGTGAAGGCACTGATACTGAGTAGAGTGGGTAATACATGTAAAGCATTAAAAGGCAGTTAGGCCAGCAAATGGACTCAGATGGAGAGTCAAGGTTTAATTTATACAAAAGGGAAAGACCAAGGAACCCCAATTCCCGTATGTAACGTGATTGTCGCCTTGGATTGGACCAATGACAGATCAAACAGCGCGGGCTGGAAAACGCGGTCCTGCCTGCTCAAAGTAATAATGGAACTGGATCCACTGCCCGTCGTCACTGCTCCACCTGTTTTCCAGTAGGGCTGTGTCAATAGTAAAAAAAAAAAAAAAAAAAAAAAAAAAAAGGTAAAACCAAAGCAACACATTATTCAGCGCCGGTGTCATGATAATCAGACAATGAACGAGTGGCGATACAAATTACAGCAATGACTACCCAGCGTGAGTGTTTATCTTTCGAGCCAAATTTCTGATCTCCACAGCCTCCCTCAATTTTCTGCTAGCTCTGTCGCCTTCGCGAGCGAGGACTGATACTGCTGTGAAGGCGCTATCTCGCAGCCTCAACTTAAAGTCCAATCCAATTGTAATGATTGAGGCTGCGAAATAGCGCCTTCACAGCAGTATTAGTCCTCGCTCGGGAAGGCGACAGACTTAGCAGGAAATTGAGGGAGGTTGTGGAGATCAGAAATTTGGCTCGAAAGATAAACACTAACGCTGGGTGGTCATTGCTGTAATTTGTATCGCCACTCGTTTATTCTCTGATTATCATGACACCGGCGCTGAAGATTGTGTTGCTTTGGTTTTACCTCAGCTGTAGTCCCCTCCACTGATAGTCGATGTTAGCGCTAGTATTAGCTGAACTCTTTTTCGCGCGGCTTCTCACACCCTTTTGTCGACAGGGGAGTTGTTGGCCTTTATCAATGCTGGTTTGGGAGCTTGTTCATCATTGTGAACCTGATGAAGGCAATTTGCCGAAACGTTGTAATATTGTGGAATGAGTTGAACTTTTGCAGTGTTAATGGAAGAGAGCGTGTGGGCTCTACTACTTAAATATTTGAGTAAGTTCAAGTAATATGTTTAGCATGATGATTCACAATGCCGAGTCAAGCTTCCCTGTCTTGAGAAATAGCTTCCACTTCGGCAATGGAAACGTGTATTGTCTTTAAGTTATTCTTGATGTTGGCGACCCATCTGGTGACAGGGCGTTCTCTGGGCTGCTTGATGTCTTTGGTGTCGATTGAAAGTAGAGCTTTGTAGTATGTTGAGTCACTGTAATTGGTTGCACAGCTTGTATAAGTTTTTGTTCGATTTTTTTGAGGATACACTACGCCAAGAATGGATCGTAGTTTCTGGCGATGCCACGTGTCGAGCCTGTGTATTAATATAGCACCATTATGCGTAAGCAAGGTCCTTTGCATCGTACTCTGGAAACCGGACCTTTGGAGGCTGAATCCAGCATCTAAATGGATTGAGGCTGAATCCAGGAGGAAAATCGGTTACTGCTTGCCTAAAATCCTACATTTTCACCTATGGAATGGAGTGGATTTTCATCGCATCCAACTTATGTTGGGTACATGTATTGGCAGCTCGACAGTCTCAATTCTACCTCAGCACGTATCATCGCAGTTTTGGCAGGACAGGTGGCCTTTGGAATCATCCATATTGTGCTGTGAAGCACGTCTCGTGACCACATTCTACAAGACAGCCTAAGAGGAGCCCTTTCCAGAGCTATATCTCTATCATCGCCACCCGCCAGTCATAGGTCTGCACTGCCGAGGAATGCTCCACACTAGGCTGAACGTAGGTAAGACAAGTGTTGACATTTCGTGTTGCCATGCAGCAGATGGGGTCCAAGCGCGCTCCAGAAAGGGGTATCTGAAGAAGAAAATATGTAATAGTAGTGGTCCACGTGTCAGCACGTTTCGTTGCATTCTTCGCCCAGGGCTGCTGTCAGGACATCTAGCACAGCCAGATTTCTTCCATGCACAAGTCAGTATTAGTCTCTCTGACGAACAGGTTCGAGGTGGCAAATGGTATCATACATGACTTCTTTGTGGCTGTTCATATAGTCATGTACATGTATGCGGCTCCGCGACAGTGGGTCCACTCAAAGTGAAGTGGGGTGATCTTACACACAGCTAGTACTAACGCCAAGTACTATTATAACATGCAAAGCATACTTCACAACGAGAAGCAGAGAAGTGTCTGGAAGGGATATGTTTCTTTCTATACTATAAGGTGGTTGTATTAGACAAAGAAAGGAGGTCGCACTCGAATGCCACGTAATGGGTTGTTTTGGATCGAAAGACGCAATGCTGAACGCTTTGGAGCCCCCACAAGGGTCTCGCCTGCGTGGTAATTCCTTCGGACTGCGGCAATGGGATCCCACAGAATATCGAGGAGGAAGGCAATCCTTTCCAGAAAGTCTGTCGGCTGGTTCAAATGAACGGTCTTATCCAGACAGCGGGCCGGCGCACGCAAGTGCCCTTGCTTCGCCAGAAAAGGAAGCACGTTCGCTGGACGGAAAAGGAATCCAAGATAAGTCTTCAGGATATACGCATGAAGGATTGAGTGCAATCCCCGGCAGTTTGGTGAATATCATGGTACCAAATCCAAGACACAAGTGCTATTTAGTACGTAAGTATAAGGTCATGGTTGAGGGAATGAACGAATGGAGTCTGTAATATTCACACAATCATGAAAAATTCATGTACATGTAAGTTTTATTTCGATACAGTGCATTCGTCGCCCACGTACCGGTTGCAAGTTCCGCACCAAAAGGAATTCTACAGAATTGCCAAGCCCAAGTTGGCCAGTTTCTGACAGAGTGTTGCAACGTATCGGCACTTGGCCTTCGTTTTCCACTTGTCAGTATAGAAACAGCTTAGAAGGAGGACATCTACTTCAAAGAAACTGACCGTCAAATGTACAATTTGCAAAGTGTTTACTCATTGAGCTGATTGGATATCTGCAGTATTTTCACCGTGTCCCTTTATTGAGGCCATGATTCAATATCTCGTATAAGATACACAACCGGTCACCTGATTTTCATCAGTTGGTTCTTTGGTTCTTAGCAGAGTCTACACACAACAAGAGACCCTTTTTTCGCATAATATGCTCAAGAGCCTTCCTTGCCGTGTATTGTAAATGTTTGTCTTGAACAGCTTGTTATGTTGAAGATCGAAGCAAAAACGGTGTCATAAGTGTCACAACTCCCAAGATCTACTTACTTTGAAGATTGCTTGTGACTTCTTCCTGTTACATGCGGCAACTATAATAGGTACAAAAGACGTTCCGGATGCCGATAAAGCCAAAGACGAAACCCTGACGGTCCCAAAAGGTAAGATAGGACACCTTTGTACGTATCCATACATCTTCACTCTCCAAACGGTCTCTGGGCTGCACTAATCACTAAAAGAGAAAGAGATATTAAATGATTCGAATTTTCGGGCAAAGCCCATCTTCAGGTACATAATATAATTATATACGATACAACAGTTAGGAGGGTTTCATTTTCAGATCTTGGGCTTTGTCGACCATAACATTCCTAGCCAATTATTCGTTGTGACTTTTCCTGTTACAGGCGGAAACTATGTAGGTGCAAAAGACGTTCCGGACGCCGATAAATCCAAAGACGAACTCCTGATTGTCACAAAAGGTAAGGTTTCACACCTTTGGACATAATGGATACTCAATCTGTGCACAGAACTGTGATCATCAGCGCAGCGCAGAGGAAATAAGGCCGATCCCGATGGCAATGAAAAATAAAATTTCCAAAGCCAGATTTAAACCAGGCCCGATCGTACCTTGCCAGAGTGCTCAAACTGATAAGTCAGTGAGCTCTGCATAACGCAAACAGCAAAGGCACTACCCCACGCAAGAGTGCTCAACTGCAACTTGTGCAGGAGTGAAATTCGCTCCTGCACTTGTAGCAGGTGAGCACTCTTGTGTGGGGTAGTACTTTGCACAACGCAACGATTTCGCTTCTGCTGTTGCAGCAGTTGAGCACTCTTGTGTGGGGTAGTACTTTGCACAACGCAACGATTTCGCTTCTGCTGTTGCAGCAGTTGAGCACTGTTGTGTGGGGCAGTGCCTTTGCTGTTTGCGTTATACATATTCGATATACCAGTTATGAGGGTTTTCATTCCAGATCTTGGGCTTTGCAGACCAAAATGTACCTAGCCAGTTATTCGTTCAGTGCGCATGCGGGGCATTCTACTGTTATGTTGAGGGTCTGCGGTAGACCAAGCAGATTAGAAAGAATAATGGAGATGACTTGCCACATAATCATTATGCCTATACCTGCTCTCGACTGTCCTGTTTAGTAGCAAAAAGTTGCGTTCTTAGAAACGGTATGAGAATTATTAACTGTGCATCATGTCCACCCATACGAGGCAACATAGGAAGTACGTAATCCAAATTTTCGTGACGTAACTTGGATTGTTTTGTTTTTGTTAACATAGTATTATGTTTACTAGTATATGCGAAGTGTATAGAAGGAATGCATGTATTGCGATAGTGCGGGTTCGAACCCTATGATTTGAATGGAAAATTAATTTCACGGCTGAGCATAGCGAAAGATTGCAAAAAAGTATTTAACACTCACAGATAATCTTTTTCACTGCACAACTCCATTGAACCTGCCATCGTGGTCTTTTGTTGTTAGGTACCCCCTCCCATACCTTATCCAACCTTTTCCAAGTTGGCCTGCATGCATCATCGTACTCACATTTTGTCTCCTTTAGTCCCCTTTTGTTCAGTTGGCCTCGGTAGCTTCTAGCGCGCCCATATTTGCCATAGCTACCCAGGCTCGTTATCGTGCCGCTCTCACTCACTCTCTCTCTCTCTCTTCCACAATGTAGTCGTTTCATTCGTCTTTGTCTCCGTCTCGTCGCCTATTAGTATCCTTCTAACTACCCGTTCTAGTTGTCCGTTGTGTCTGGTGACTCTTTTGTCGAACTCAACGTACTGTATACCCTGTGTGTGTGTGTTTCAGAGCCACCACAAAAAGCAGCCTTGTTCCAAATGTACACTCTGAGTACGAACAAGAACGTGGTCGCCTTCCAAGTAGCCAAACCCTCTTCAGAAGCGAATCCCACTAGCAATCCTGCACTCTATCCAGAATATCTGGGTACTTCGGTCAAGGCGAGCACAACACCCAGCGATAGTGTTTTGTGGGAGATTCTGCCAGGCATTGTACAAGTTGCGACCCCTATAGCTGCGCTACAGGAGGCATCAAGTCACTTCGTACAATCCCAAAGTGACAATAAGAACGCAATCTACCTACGGTCAGCAATTACACCAGGACTCTATTTGCAAGAGCAGCAGAGCATGAGTGCTCAGGGTGAGTTCCCAGTACGGTTCGCTACCCAGGACCAATATTCTATGACGACACAGTTTCATCTTGAGAGCGCGCAGAAGGATGCAATGTAAATCCAGAGGTTCAAAGATACCATTATGAACGAACATCTGATTCTTAGAAATGTTGGACTCCGATTACATGTACACATGAAATTTGCTTATCACAAAATTTTCAAATCGAATTTGTCTATCAACTGTCTAATATTCTTGATGTGTTCAGCTACTTTTGTCATAGTTTGCTAAATTCAAAGTTGTAAACCTGTGTAGGGCATGAGAATAGTATGATCAAATTTCGCTTTTATTGTGAATTTTAGTAACATGCTATAAAGTGTCCCAATGATCTGTTAGATCTCTCCTACCACTCCTACATCCCTGCTACTCCTACCCGTGAGTAGTAAGACTGGATAAGGGGTGGCCCAACTTAGCTTGTTAGGAATGGTATGAACCATCAGGTATCTTGTCTTCCAAATTACATGTAGTTATAACTAAGCAGATATCATAATCAATAACCTTCCATATTTCCCAAATTTTCTGATCATTGCCCTTTTTGTGCAACTGCTTTACAACACTTATTTTTCGCCTGTCTCTTTGGGCTCCCGATTTCTTTTGATTCATTGCGCATTTGCTTCATTATGTCTCTGGTTAGACCTGTTCTTTGGAACAGATCTAACTAATAAAGCCAAAGATATATAAAAGTTTAAACATTTGCCTTTTTTCCCAAAAATCTATACAAAGACGTTTGTTAATTAAGGCATTTCTTCCATCCTTTGGATGACGTCGAACACAAAATGATGTGAAAAGTCAACCCTCGCGATTGGCAGTGGATAATGCTACTTGGCATCAAAAAGGCTCATCTATGCATGCATGCACCCAACGGGTGCCTTCAGGAAAAACATCACAATTGTACAAGTCGGCCACACTTGCAGAGGCGGAGGCCAATATTTACATAATTATTTTGCATGGTGCCTTTTCTTCACGAAAGTTGTTTTGTATGGCCTTTCGGATCTCAAACCTTGCTCCCACAAAGCATCTTGTACTAGCACAAACATTACTAGTGAACAAAGAGATTTGCTCACATTCAACAGAAGTGAATCATGTACCATGTCACGTACCTGTTATGTAACATGCAGCCACTAGGCTACGGGATACAGAACGCGGAGAAGATACATGTACAACGTCCAATACCCAAGTCAAGGGAACGGCTGCACAGTGGACTGATGATGGTAAAACAGCCGGACTCACATCAAAAGTGACATGCACACGCACATACTCCTGTCAAGTGTGCCCCTGAGGCGTAGGAGCGAGAAGGTTTTGATAATGCCACGTGCTGGCACGAGCACACCTGCATCTGGGTAAAAATAACTCCATAGGATAGATTGTCTGAGAGAAGCCTGGATAACAAGTCTGACCTTTTTATTGTGCTCTTTGAAAATAGGGTAGCATGGAGTACACTGAACACCATGCTACACTGCCAGCATGACGGGCTGGGGAGAAGAAAATCAGTGAAGACCAAGGCCGTCAGGCTTCTCCAATCCCTACAGCGAGAAACACACACATGAACCTTGTAGTCATAACTGCTCAGCAACATACCTGGCTTGCTCTACCAAACAGTTGCGATCAGTACGATTCCTAGGACCAGACAAATACACCTGAAGCGACTGCATACAATATTTCGTCAGACAGCGAGGAAAGGGAGAGGGAGCACACTCTTGTCAAATTCTGACGAAAACGGTCCCTATTCTCACATGCGCAACACCAGAAGTGCAATCCTAGAATTATGCTTCAACATCGCCTTTTGATAATTGGTGGTAACTGTATCCGTCATACCAAACTGGCTTTGATTAGAAATTGCCAGTACGTCCAGCTAGCAATCAGACCATCCGAAGCTGAATCTTGGACCAGAGTGAGTATACTACCCTCGCAATCCATTTCTCTCAGTCGGGATAGTCGATGTTCACAGCACAGAATCAGTATTCAACAGCTAGATAGTTCCACGTCTACCAGAATCTAGTATCATCGAAATAACTTGACAAGATAGCTGACAAAGCGGGAGCCTTCTTCATAATGATGTACTTCAACGTACATTTGCCGCTAAAATGTGTCCCGTGATTCAATCTTCTATGCTGACAAACGTTGAAATGTTATTATGTAGTATTACGACCCGGATGGTGAGAAAGCTGTCTGAGGTCCTGAAATGGTCATCCATTCTCGACATTTTCTTGTATAATAGCAGAGCACACGCGACCAGATGTGGAAAGAAGGAACATCTCCAGAGCCGATGTCGTCCGTTGCATTCCATACCAAATATCCCGCAGTCATATGCAAGTTAGTCCTTCAAACGGCACAGTTCTCACATACTTTCACGCTTGCTTGTCATGACGCCATGGGTCAGCTTTTACCCCGTGATTCCAGTCTACAGACCGTCCCATGATCTTGCACACAACTGCTGTGTTGCCAGGTACACATTTGCGAGAAATGTACACAAGAAGAGGTGACGAAAGGAACACCTAGAGAGAGAAAGTATATTTTTCATTCTCCCCCTACACTTCTGTCAAGTGTGATTGAGAGAAGGAAAATCGCACTGTCTTTCGCAGCGATGGGTTGTTTTGGATCCAAAGGCGCCATTTCCAATTCCTCGCAGGAACTTCAGGAACCTCAATTTCCGAGGAGAACTTTCCGCCTCCGGCCGTGGGACCCTACACAACTCCGAAGAATGAAATCTCATCCAGACCACTCGGCTCTGCCACAGGAATTATCCTATCCAGACAGCGGATTAGCTGTTAGATTGGAGCCTTCGACGGACACAGAAAACGTCCCCAGAAAGCGACCATTTCTTGCTGGCAGGTTTTCTCGTGGACTCCGAGATGAATCTAAGACTGGTCACACCCCGAGTGATCATACACCTAAACATCGAGACTGCCACGGCGAATCTGGCGAGACTGTATTGTTGAAGGTACCAAATGCGGGCAAGGACTGTTTTGTTGTCCGTAAGTATATGTTATGCGTATGTTATTTTGAGATAATCAGGTGAACCAATCCCTAAATCTTTATGTTCCCATAAATAATGAAGTGTTTAGGGAGCTACGAGCGCCAGCCATTCGTTTTCCGCGAAATTCGTTATCCATTCCGCATATATTTATCAACTCGTTGACCATTGGTAAGCGAAGGAAGGGAATGCACCTCTATAGTTTCCATAGTCGGTATACCGTAGCTGTAGCACTTTAATTGCAAGCAATAGTGCCACGTCTGAGATGGATAGACGTCGTCGAGAAAAACTTACAATGCGTTAATCTCTCGCTTCTGGATGCTGTGCAATCTGCTTCTGATAGAGCTGCTTGGCTCAAAATTGTCAACAGAGGCGTTGACCTCATGCAATGAGTGATATGCGAACTGTCGTTATTATTATAAATAATAATGCCCTAAAATGCATACCAACAGGAGTTCAGGTCTTGGCTACAGCGGGTTGTAAAAAGCGTAGAGGAAATCGGAATAGTGTAATGCATTCTTCGCTTCTCCATTTTCTTTATTATTTACGAGTTGGGTACTATGTGAACAGAGTAAAAAAAGAATAATAAAAAACAAGCTCAGTAAACGTCTCCAAATAATCCCCATCACGGGATTTCCATATCTTCCCGTGCAAAGCGAAACAAGACTATTTCCTCCTCTCTGTACGAAAACAGGTGGACACCAGTCTCGAAATAACCCACCAGCCAAATTGGAGGGGAGATGTTACCAAAACATACTCGTCTGGTTTTGTACTCGTTTGACTTTCGATCACGCTGGTGTACTTCATTTCTCTCTAAAAGGAGTGGAAGTGGAAGCAAACTTGAACAGATAGACATACTCACATTTGAACCCCCCCCTCTCCCCCCCCTTCACCCCACTCCTAACCTCACAGCATGCATAACCACAAGGCCAAAAAGGATATGGGATAAATCGTGGATTTTGATAACGAATCGATACTGGCTTCCAGGGCAAATCATAAACCATGGGAAAAGGCCAGAAACCTGGCCGAAATACTAACTCCTTAAAGGTTAGTCCAATTGTTCCGAAACCTTCACAGAACAAGCTGCCGTGCCCTAACAAACCATTTTATGTATTTTGTTGTCCAGATTTCCCTTATCTTCATACTTTTTAAGACACAAACTTGATTGCTAATCTTTTTGAAACCGACTGTAGTTTCAGCCATTTCCAGACATCAGTCAGTAATACTAAGCACACCATCGCGATCAGCAGAAGCTTTCCTGTTCTCAATATCTTCCTTTATATTCTCGTCCTCGTTCCTCGAATATTAAAAATCAAAAGAAAGGACTTATATGCCATCACCAATCTTCTGCCCCTGATTCGCACAAACCGAGCTAAGATCGAAAGCGAGAAAAGAGACTCGCACATAATTATAATGAAATATGGATGCAGCAAATACAATTTTCGGTCTTTGACCACTTTGGTGGTGGGTATGATCTACTCACCTCAAACCGCTTTAGGACTTCTTGATCTTTGGGTGTGTTGGCGTCCTAGAGGATGCGGAAAATGCGGTCTCCAGCCAAAGTCTCACGCCAACCGCGAATCTTTAAAAAAACATATTTAGCTCATGGTTAGATCAAACCTTCACCTCATTGGAGCTGTCTGTACCTGAACATTCCACTTTGGAAGGCTGTTGGCTTGCGGTTCGTAGATCTGTTGGAACTAGGTGTCAGGTTGTCGAATGTTTCAATACCTTGTCAGTTTTGTGCCGTATTGTCGAACTATGTGACTTTATATTATCTCGTTATCTTGGTGGACTTTTAGTCTAAAAACGTATAGGTCTAGATTAAACCCGGATGGAAAGGCAAGGATTATAATTAAAAAAGCGGACCATAAGTTTATAACTCGGATGTTGAGCCATAAATAAATGCAGAAAGGAAAAGGACATATGGGTACGAGTTAAGAGTAACTCTCCATCACTGTAACTGGATATAGTATCCAGTTACAGTGATAGAGAGTTACTCTTAACTCGTATCCATTATGTCCTTTTCCTTTCTATATAAGTTTATAAGTTATCCGATTTGTCCAACACTAACGGCTACAAGCAGAATACTGTCGAGTCAAAAAATTTGCAACAATTAGCACAAAAATTGACTGATGAGATACTGACATTCAACGACCTTATGCTTAGCTTTCGTCTAGAGTGCGCTCGCCTTCCCCTTTCTTACGTTATTTTACAACTTAGAACCTTCCGATTCGGAAGGCTGCTGGTTTGAGCATCTAGACGTGATGCAGCTAAGCCTCAGGTCGTTGAATGTCAGGACCTACTCAGTCAGTTTTTGGGCTAATTGATGCACATGTTTGACTCAACAGTATTCTGGTTATAACCGTTAGTGTTGGACAAAACGGATAACTTATAGTTCCCTTTCTCTTTTCATATTACAATTGGCTCAACATTCGAGTTTTTATTAATGCGAGGAGGTTCGCAATCTGAACGTTCTACTTTTCATTCTAATGAGAGGATTAAGTTAAAATCAAACAGGTCCTTTTTCTTTACATAATGAA